AACCAGGAATTATTTCTAAAATTTGCCAAAATTTTTTTGAAAATTTTTCACTTCACAGTTTTCTTTTATTACCTTTAGTATTAATAGAATTTATTCATTAATTAATTTTGCTAGTATTTTTTAATAGAATTTACTCATTAATTAATTTTTTTTTCGAAATTTATCGTTTATCTTATTTTAATTTTACAAATTTACATTTGCTTTTTTATGCAATTTCAATTATTTAACACTTTGAAAGGAATTAACCATGAAAATTTTACAACTTACCAATACCATAAATCTAATGTTGGCGCATAATGTTGTCCAATATGGATAATTTTTGTAATTGACAATTCTGGCGGTAATGCTTCTCGAATTGCTTGCTCAGATGGCAAATGTCCACCCGGAAAGATATATTTTTTGATAAAATCACTCGAATGACGATATCGTTTGTAATTTAATTCAGGATATATTATTGCCTACAAAAAAAAAAAAATAAATAAATAAATAGATAAACAAATAAATAAACAAATAAACAAATAAATAAATAAAAAATAATTCTGTCTTTTTACCGTTCGTAATTTAATTCAGGATATATTATTGCCTAAAAAAAATAAATAAATAAATAAATAAATAATGAAAATAAATAAATAAATAAATAAATAAACAAATAAATAAAAATAATTGTCTCTTTTCTTCTGTCAATTTAAAAAAAGAACTTCAATTGTCACTGCATGACTCAATTTAAGAAATAAATAAATAATTAATTAATTAAACTTAAATTATATACATATATACCTGTAAGAATGCTTTACCACCAGGACGTAATCGATCGCGTAAAATTTCAAAAAATTGTGGTAAATATTCATGCCCAACTGCTTCAATCATTTCAATTGCAATAATTTTATCGTAAATATCATTTTCTAATCTATTAAAAAAAATAAATAAATAAATAACTTTTTGATAACTTTTTTTTTAAAATTTTCCTTACAATAATTTATTGAGTAATATTAAATGAAAAAAAAAGAAATATTCAAGTAAGTATGAACACATTCATGTAATAATATTTCAATTATGATGCATATTATATTCGCTTACTGATTTACTCATTTACTTAATCGTTTACTGATTTTTTTGTGTTTCAATTAATAATTCCTAAATTTGATACAATGTATCAATTGATAAAATCTTTTAGAAAAAAAGTTGGAGATTTTTTTTTGCAATAATTTTGAATTTTTAATATTTTCTAAATAATTAAATATAGCAGAATTTATTAATTTTACGAATAATTAATGGATTTTTTTTGTGAAATATTGTTATAATTTAATAAATTTGACAAACTTTTTTTTTGTAATTTAATTTGTTAAATTTATTACAAAATATAAATTAATTTAATTATCAAGTTGAAATTAGAGATAACTAACCGATAATCTAATAATTTCACATTAACTTTATCTTGTAATTTATTATCATTTATTTTTGTTGAGTAATTTTAAATTGTTCCATCGAAATTGTCAACCCTGTCCATTTACATTGATAATATTTGACAGCACGTATAGCGCATGCGCCCCAACCACAACCAATTTCTAATATTCGATCATCGGATGTAAGATTCATTTTTTCAAATATTTGATCATATTTTCTCATTTTGAGCTTCTTCAAGCAATTTATTGTCAGAATTGATGATTGTATGAGATGGAATTGCTAAAATAAAATGTATTATTTATAATCGAATAATTCAATAATATTTAGAAAAGAATTGGAAAAAAAATTAAAATCAAAATTTTTTTTTTGATTTTCAATTTATCTTTCGTTAAAGAATTTTTTTTTTTGATATTATTTAATAATTTTAAAACAAATTTTGCTACAATTCATCAATTATTTTATCAATGTACTTCAAAAAAAAAAAAAAAAAATTAAACCTAAAATTATGTATTTTTTTTGAAGATTTTTTTTCAATAACAAAAAAACATTATCACTATTAATAAATCATTTATCATTTATGCAAATGTAATGACTTTTTGGATTATTCAACCAATAACTTTTTGAATAATTTTTTTAAAATTTTTTTGAATTTAATTTAATTTAATGAAATTAACCTAAAATTATATATGCTTATAAAATTTCGTCCTTTTTTATATCATTGCTAAAGAAATTTTAACTAAATAATTTTGTAAAATTATAAGCAAAAAAAAAAAAAAGAACAAAAAAAGAAACCTTGAAAGATTGCGCATGAATAGGTCATCGATGGGTCAAGAAATAAGCTAAACATATCATTGCCAAGATCATAATGTTTATGAATATTTCGTGCACTACCGTATAATGAATTTGTATGATAGTAATGTTGTATGAAATTAATAAATGATATAACTGATCGAATTAATTGAATAATTAAATAAATTAATAAATTAAACAATTTTTTTAACCATCCATTACTTTGCTCCGATTTTTTCATTCCATTATTATAACCTGAAAAATTTCTCAACAATATTAATTATATCATTAACTTATATTATTAATTAATTACAAAAATCCCCTTAAAAAGGAAAAAAACAATATTATTATGTTATTAATTACTGTTATATCATTAACTTATAGTATTAATTAATTGCTAAAAATCCCATAAAAAGAATAAAATGCATTCGAAATTGTTTGTTTTTCTTTTGGTTTACAAATTTGTTCACTTATTAAAAAAATACTCATTTAAATTAAAATCAACATCAAATCAATACCATTTAAATTAAAATCAATATCATTTAAATTAAAATCAATACCTTCATTAAATAAAATCAATTATATATATATATATATTAAATTTCAAATAAAGCTTATTTTATTTGGAAAAGAAAAATTGCAAGAATTTAAATTGTTCATTTACATATTCAATTCACTTTTTGGAAAATTTGAAGTTGTTTTTGTTTTTGAAATTTTTTCAAAAAGAACTAATTTTTCATTCAAAGTTATGAAAAATTTAATTATTGAAGGAGCAAAAAAAAGAATTTGTTTTGTATATTTCTGTATATATGCATATATATTAGCAAACTAACGATTTATACATATTTTTATGATGATTTATATTATTATATATTAAAAAAATATTCAAATTCAAATATGTATATTAGTAAACTATTTATATATATATATATATATATTAAACTAACGTTTTAGCGCGAATAAGTAATGCCAAAAAATCCTGTATTCGTAATTGTGTATCCCAATTCTCGAACATATAAGCTTCACCAAGACCAATTTTTGGATCCAAAAGAATTCGTAAACAAAAATTAATTGGCTTATGTAGGATTAATGTAATTGGTAATATATCATTCGATTTATTTGATCTATAAAACAAAAAAAAAAATTAATTGATGTTTTATTTTTTATTTTTTTTATTTTTTGTTTTAATTAGTCAATGTTTTATTTTTGTAATATCATTATTATCAGTAAGACTATTTTTTTGTCGTTTTACTATTTTATTTTTTATATATTTTCAATTGTTTATAATAAACCGACAAAAAAATTAATTAATTAATTATGCATTAAGTTAATTATGTGTTGTATATTTAAATTAATTATATAATTATGTATTTAAATCAAATATATACACAAACTAATTATGCATTTAATTAACTTTTTTTCTTTTTGCATAATATAATCTTTTATAAAAATCAGGGAAAACTAATATTTGTTTTCCTTTTTTT